TAAGGCAAGGTGCGGCTGTGATCGCGATGTGCGGCTGTGATCGGAGGGCGCGGGCAGCTCTGCGTGCGCCCTCCGCAGCTAATGATTAAACTTAAATCTGACGATGAAATACAGCTTTCAACAACAATTTTTTGAATATATATATAAATTTTCTGAACAGTAAAAATTTGAGTTAGTAATTATTACTTTATTTAATTTAGTTAAATTTGATTAAATTGGAATAGGCGGAGGTGATATTTCTGGAGCAATTAAGGCACCCAAATCTGGTCAAATTGATTGGGTACAGCTACGAGGAAAAGCATCGGCTTTTAGTGTATGAGTACATGTCAAAGGGGAGCTTGGAGAATCATCTATTTAGAAGTAAGCACTGATGCATTTATTTATTTTATTTTTTAATGGCCACTGAAATATATTATGGCAATCTTTTCATTTCATTCATTAAATAAAATATGAAGAGAAAAAACAAAGAGAAAGTATAGTTGATTTGTACATCTGATAGTGATTTGGTATAAATAAATATATAGTGGTTAGGTACATACTGACTTTTTGCGGGTTTGTTAAACCCCTCTAAAGCAAGCTGTTGATATAACATTAGATGTCAAACCAAGGTTACTGTTACAAAACAAGAATGATTAATGAGAAATTATAAATGTATTTTCTATAAATAAAAGTCAGCTTTTTAAATTTCAAATTTGTATATTTATTATTAATTTAATATTTTATTACCTCCATTTATTAAACTATGTTAAACATAGAGAATGTAAAGGCTATTTTAAGTGCTTACGTATTTCTTAATATCATCTTTAACTGTTCTTTTGACTTTACATATGATTGCGGCCAAGTTGTGGTTAGGTGATAAAGTCAGTTAATTAGTTGACCAAATGCAGTTTTAACATGTAATTAATTAATTGCAGATGTAATCGCTTCGCTGCCATGGTTGACGAGATTGAAGATAGCAGTTGGAGCTGCCAAAGGCCTCGCTTTCCTACATGAGGCTGACAAACCAGTGATTTATCGAGATTTCAAGGCATCTAACATATTATTAGATGAGGTAATTATAATTACTTTAATGATAATGAAATCCAAGTCATAAATAGTTTGTTCCCATTGGCTAGTCTTAAGTCAACGTGCTTGAGTGGATTAGGAAGAGCAGCTGGTCCAATGAGAGTGACACATGCCAGATTAATCAAGGCATTTAAGTTTTAATTAAAGTGCTTTATAACGTCAAATTTGTTTGCTCACAATAATAGCTTTGATCTCACAGCAAATAAATGAAAGGTGGATTTTATTGGTTGTTGTACTTTGTAGGTCTTAGTTGTTGACCAAAGTTTACTTTTAGCATGTGAAAATAAAAAAAGTTATCAGGTGCGGTGGCCGCAAAAAAATATTACCTCAAGAGTACTGATGCATCAGTACTCCAATAGGGATGTGGCACGTGGAATTATGATGGGACCATAACATACGTGACACCTCTTCATTGGGAGTACTGATGCATCAGTACTCCTGAAGAAATATTTTTTCGGTGTCCGCAGCACGTGCAGTCCACCAATAGGAGGATAGAGAGGTCGGGATCCGCTCTCTCTCTCGCACTCTCTCTCATTCTATTGGGCGTTTGAAATAGTGAAAGGATGGCACACCTTATAATATTTTCGAGGAAATAATAAAGCTTAGAATTTGGTTTGAGTATTAATCATTATTACATGTGTGTTACATTTTCTTAAAATTTTGGTTCAACAGCCGGGGCATTATTTTAAAGCCAAAGTTGACTTAGTATATAAAATACTTTTGTTTAAAGTTCAAAAAAATAAGGTGCATTTACATATATATCATCCAAACATTAATATTTACGTAGACAATACTCAAATCTTTTAACACCGCATCAAAAATATCATTATCACCTATATCTTAAAAATGGATTGCATCTTTTCATGCATAATTTTATCACAATAAACTGTTATAAATATAAATATAAATATAAATATGAAAGTTTAGACATTAGATATATATAAGAATCAAGAATAAATTCATAGGAAATGAATGATACGCATGTAAATTTTCCTAAAAATAAACAAGTCTCAAATATTAAAATGTTTAGATCATGCCCTTAAATCAGAAAAAAAATATTACGTGCATTGCACATTAAACATGCAGAGGATGGTTCGAATGTGCCATATGGACTGTTATCCGCATACTTCTGCTTGCCCAAATATGATGAATTCGAGTAGGTGCAAGTTTTAATTCAAAGCTTTTTTTTTTGTTATCTCAATCAAAAGCTTATTATAATTATAAAAATGATTATGAACCCGATTCTAATACAAAATTTGATGTCATGACTCACCAGGACTACACCGCAAAGCTCTCAGATTTCGGTTTAGCGAAGGATGGCCCTGAAGGCGACGAAACGCATATCTCAACACGTGTTATGGGCACTCATGGCTACGCTGCTCCGGAGTACATAATGACTGGTAATAATCTTAATATAAACAAAATTCAATCAACCGAAATAATTTATTTTTCACCACAAACTTATATGCTTTTCTTTTCTACAGGCCATCTCACTGCAAAGAGCGATGTCTGAAATAATTTATTTTTCACCACAAACTTATATGCCTTTCTACAGGCCATCTCACTGCAAAGAGCGATGTCTACAGCTTCGGCGTTGTGCTGCTAGAGTTGCTTACAGGACGATGCTCCGTGGACAAACATAGGCCGAACAGGGAACAAAACCTTGCTGAATGGGCTAAGCCATACTTACTTAGCCCACACAAACTTGATCGGATAATGGATCCAGGCCTGGAGGGACAGTATTCAACAAAAGCAGCACAAAAAGCAGCAAAGATAGCGCACCAGTGCTTGGGCCAAAGCCCAAAATCAAGACCGGATATGAGGACTGTGGTTGAAACACTGGAACCTCTTTTGGAGCTGAAGGATATACCCATGGGTTCTTTTGTGTACACAGTGGTAACCGAAAATAGAGGAGTTGAGGTGAGGGAGAGAAGTGAAGGAAAGGAGAGGAAAGAAGAGAAGGAAAATGGAAGAAGGGAGGTTGTTGGGCACAGACACAAGATAAAGTTTCCGCAGGTTTCTGCTCCCATGGATTCAGCTCTTTACAAGGTTTATAAGAGCAGCCCAGGGAGGAAGTTGACACCACCGGAGAAATGATTTGATATGAATATTATAGATTTTGTAGTTATAAATATGATTTTATGATGTGGCAAAAGATGGCTGGTCATGATCATTACAGTTAGATAAGTATTGATGTAGTTTTTTCGTTGTTTCTTCTTGGTTATTCTGAACCTTAAATGATCTAAATGAAGTATTTTATTGATTTTTGAAAGCAGTAGTAAGGGAATATGTATGATGATGCATTGTAATTGAATGTATGTATGAGATGTTTTCATGGAAATTGATAATTAAAAGTTTTTTCATAAGATTAATGCCAGATTTAGTAAAGCTTAAGCTATGAGTAATCATAGTTAGCTTGGATTTAGAAGAGTACTGCCACTTATAGAGTTTATAGTTCCGAGCTGTGCATAAAAGTGAAGTGACTTTACACTGAAAGAGAAATCCAATTTGTGCTTAATTAACTTTAATTGTTTCTTTGTTTCATGGGCATGACTCTTCCTTCGTGATGGCTGCAAATAAATCATTTTTGTCAAATTGTGGGCCGCGAGTCATTGTTTATTTCTCCATGGCATCATGCTTGGAGTTAGGGGTAGGTTTTGTATTTTCAGACACAGCATAAATTCAAGCTGGTTACAAGAATTGAGCTAATTTTCGACGGTTAAATATCATCAGTAATAATGTAAAAATCATATGGAATATATTTAGCATCGATTTAGCAACGACTAAGAGTGCGTTTCAGGATAAGAAGTTTATCCTGAAACGTGGCCCGCGGTCGAACCCGCGGTCTGCGTTTAGTGCAAAAATCTGATCGCATTTCAGATAAACGGGCAAAACATGTGATTCAAACTTTACCGTGGTGTTTTTAAAAATGCCCCCACACTTATAAGCTGCCCCAAACGGACCCTATATTGACATAGCAAAAACACATCTTGACAATAAAATTACTGACGGATTTAGCAACGGTTTACATTAACCGTCGAGTATCTGATATACCATAACCGCCGCTAGAGATCAAAATATAAGTCATGTTTAACTGTAGCTTGACCGTAGGTTAACCGATGTATATGTCTCTGGGAAAAGTGTTGCCCTTCAATCGGAAAGGTTTTACGGTTTTGTCAGTAAAATGTCGCACAACCATCGATTAACCATTGGAATTTACTAATAGATTTGTTCATAGCAACAGTGCAGCACTTTGTCCAGACGTCGTTTGCTCAATAGACCGTCGGAAAAACGTCGGCATATAATCAATGGGTCGTAAAACCGTCAGTAAGTCATCAAAAACCTGTACCATCAAAAATTAAAACTTTAAGCTTTAAACACTACAATCTACACACCAGCAATCATAACAATGTAATCAAAACACAACACAACACAATAATAAAACTAATTAACACATAAATCATATACATAATTAAACAAATAACTATTGTAATAAACCAAATAAAATATACAACTGTACGTTAAAAATAATTTTTGATAACAATAGAGTCTTTAGCTTACAAACAAACAAATAAAATAACCCCCTGCTCATCACCCTCCTTTGTCCCCTTCTCATCCTGCACTGGCTCCTTCCCTTTCTGCGGTTTAGAAACCAACACCGCTTCTATCTCTGTCTTCATCTTCGATCTTAGGGAGGCTATTTGAGCAGCAATCTCAGCTGCAAACAGACGACTCATCTCCTGCTTATGTGTAGTAGAAGTAGATGCACAGATGTGCTAGACGCCCAACAGACCACACTACATGAAAAAACACTAAAATCGATGAAAAAACTGACAACCTTTTAAACATCAAAAAAATTATTCTAATTAATGCAATTTTGTTATTGTTTATGTTCTTGGTTATTTATGATGACATAACTACAACATATGTCATCACTTATCAACAATATTTTGTTTTTCGATGGTTTTTATTTATAACTATCATAATTTTTTGAGATTCCTAGATTCTTTTATTTGCTTAATTCCAAGTTGGTGAAAGTCGATAATTATTTCCTTTTTATATGCCCGAATTTTTTGTATTTTCAGACACTACATAAATTCAAGCTCGCTACAGGAATTGAGCTAATTTTCGACGGTTAAATACCATCAGTAATAATGTAAAAATCATATGTAATATATTTAGCATCGGTTTAGCAACGACTAAGAGTGCGTTTCAGGATAAACAACTTATCCTGAAATGTGGCCCGCGGTCGAACCCGCGGCCTGCGTTTAGTACAAAAATACAATCACATTTCAGATAAGCGGGCAAAACATGAGATCCAAACTTTACCCCGGTGTTTTTAAAAATGCCCCCGCACTTATAAGCTGCCCCAAACGGACCCTATATTAACGTAGCAAAAACACATCTCGACAATAAAATTACTGACGAGTATCTGATATACCATAACTGCTGCTAGAGATCAAAATATAAGTCATGTTTAACTGTAGCTTGACCGTACGTTAACCGATGTATGTGTCTGTGGGAAAAGTGTTGCACTTCAATCGGAAAATTTTTGCGGTTCTATCAGTAAAATGTCGCGCAACCATCGATCAACCATTGGAATTTACTAATAGATTTGTTCATAGCAACAGTGCAGCACTTTGTCCAGACGTCGTTTGCTCAATAGACCGTCGGAAAAACGTCGGCATATAATCAATGGGTCGTAAAACCGTCAGTAAGTCATCAAAAACCTGTACCATCAAAAATTAAAACTTTAAGCTTTAAACACTACAATCTACACACCAGCAATCGTAGCGATGTAATCAAAACACAACACAACATAATAATGAAACTAATTAGCACATAAATCATATACATAATTAAACAAGTAACAATTGTAATAAACCAAATAAAATATGCAACTGTAGGTTAAAAATAATTTTCGATAACAATAGAGTCTTTAGCTTACAAACAAACAAATAAAATAACCCCCTGCTCATCACCCTCCTTTGTTCCCTCCTCATCCTGCACTGGCTCTTCCCTTTCTGCGGTTTAGAAACCAACACCACTTCGATCTTTGCCTTCATCTTCGATCTTAGGGAGGCTATCTCTGCAGCAATCTCAGCCGCAAACAGACGACTCATCTCCTGCTTATATGTAGTGGAAGTAGATGCACTGATGTGCTAGATGCCCAAGTGACAACACTACATAAAAAAACACTAAAATTGATGGAAAACTGACAACTTTTTAAACGTCAAAAAAATTATTCTAATTACCGCAATTTTGTGACTGTTTATGTTCTTAGTTATTTATGATGACCTAACTACAACATATGTCATCACTTATCAACAATATTTTGTTTTCCGATGATTTTTAATTCTTACTAACGTAATGATCCGTCAATTATAAGAAAATATTAATTGATGACTATAGCTCGACAGTTATACTCAAACCCCCCATCTGACAGGATTTTAACCGGTACATTTTATTATTAAACAACAGGAGCGATCGTCGATAAAAGTTTTAATAACCGATGCATATTATTAAGAAAATATCATCATACACAGGCGCTTGAGACCCCAACCCGTAGACTCCGTCTTTCTTCCCGTTGACAGCCTCCCTCCAAAGGTCGTACTCAGAAGGATTATGAGATATGCTCGAACCCTAACCTGACTGTTGAGATCGGCTCTCCTCGAGCTTCTAAAAGGCCTCCTACAAAATAAATGATTAATGAAAGTGAGAGACTAAATAAATTTCGATAGTTACTTGAATTTTATACTCATTAATCTTGTGAATTACCTAGGTCGCTTAAGATCTGATATCCACCTAGGACTGATCTGACTGTCACCTGTGGGTGCGCTCGTCTAACTCTATCGTACTTGATTCTCATCTTTTATTTAGTGCTTGTCAGTGAAATGGAATAGTTGACATAAATTTAATGTAAAATAAAATTTAATGCAAAAAGAAAATAAGTCTCATCAAACACCTCTTGTACTCTGTATGTACGTGGGAGCACTCCACCGGTGTGCTTCGAGACCTCCATGCCCCAGCATTCAGAGCGGCAATTTTGCTTTCATGCTCCATCTTCTTCTGATACTTGGGAGAGTCTTAGGCTCTGAGCAGTGCGACAAAGACATTATTGTCGAGCTACAAGGGGCGCTCATGTGTCTGGTGTATATCCCCGAGCTGGTCACACAGATGATCGCTCGCGTTGTGCTCGAAGTTCTTGTGGATGTGTGCCTCCTCCTCGAGGGGCCAGAACTATTGTTTATGTAAATTGAATTATAAATTTTTAAATTCATAAAAATAAATACATAATTGTAATTATTGTGTTTGAGGTTTACTTTAAACTCCCCAAACCACATATCCCGAACTGTTATTGGGATCTCCCTCTGGGAAAAGTATGAATGATCGTACTTGCTCTGAATGAGGCCTATGATGGAATTGATACTCTGTGCGTGGGGTCTAAATCTGAAAATAACATATGATTGGTTTTCTATTAAATTAAAAAAAAGGTAGTAATGTCAGTTTTAAATTAAAACTTAAGTGTTCTGATCTCCAAAGTTGATGACGGTCGCTCATGAGGGTCAAAGTGGACCACACATCAATAACAACTAACGTTGACAGTGTTTGTGGTGTTGTGGCTGCAGCTGGTGGCTGTGGTGGTGTCTTGGCCACGACCGGTGGAGATGGTAGTGTTGTGGCTGGTGGCGCTGATGGGGTCGTGGCTGGTGGTGATAGTGGTGTCATGGTCACAATTGGCGGAGGTGTTGGTGTGGCAGGGGAGACTGGAGGTGGAGTCGGTGTGGTGCTCTCTATACCACCACGTCCACAACCTCGTCTACTAACAGATTTCCACAAGATAGCACGTCCCGAGAGGAGGGAGAATGGCCCTCTGCATAAGTCATCTACAAGCAAGAAAGTAAATTTAATTAGTGCATCTATATAGTACTAAAGCTGAAAGTACAATATTACACAGCAAAAAGAAAGGTTAAAACTAAATTACATGCAATCTACAAACTACTAAAACTGAAAACATAAGAGTATACAAAATTATATAAATTTGAAAATTTACGACATTCAAGAAAAAATCAATATATAAGAATTATATGCTATGTGAATTTCTCTTTAAAAGGGTGATTTTAAATTCATAACACACAATTCTTATGCATTTATAT